TGAAGAAAATTTAGAGCCGATGTAAAACCAAATGTTTACCTTGAATATTAAAGCAAAGTGGTTTGTAAAACACCTTTTTAACACTTAACCTTAAGTTAAGAAATATACATATTGACGTTTTCTCCAAGATCATTGTTCTTATGTGTTGCTGAGTCGATTTCAACTCATAGGGACCCCATGTGACAGAGTAGAACTGTCCCATAGGTTTTCTAGCCTGTAGTTTTTATGGGAGCAGATTCTAGGTCTTTCTTCTGCGGAGCCTCTGGGTGGGTTTGAAATGCCGACCTTTCTGTTAGCAGCCAAGTGCTTAACCATTTTGCCATCAGGGCTATCCGAGTTTGTTTCTCCAAGATAAACGTAAAATATGCATCTGTACTGGGTTTAAAATTCATGTCCACCCGGGAGCTCAGAACATTTTAAATAAGGTTTTTGCAGAAGTAATTAGTTGAGATAAGGTAATAATAGTTTAGCTTGGGCTCTAAGTCCTGTAGGTCTGATGTCCTTATAAGATGAGGAGAAGATTCACAGAGACACAGACAAGCACTAAGGAGAAGGTCATGTGAAGATGGAAGGAGAGATTGCAGTTACACAGCCACAAGCCAAGGGATGCCAAGGATTGCCAGGAGTCATCAAAAGATAGGAATCGGCAAAAAGAATTTTTTCCTGGAGACTTCATAGAGAACATGGCCCTGCCCCACCTTGGTATTTGACAGCTTGCCTCCAGGACTGTGAAAGAATAAATTTCTGTTATTTTATGCTACTCACTTTGTGGTGATTTGTTATGGCTTCCATAGGAAACTAATATTACGGATTGAGTTAGCCAGACATACTGATTTTATGTCAATTAAAAGAAATGGTGAGGAGTCATATATCTTCTAAAAGTTATGTATTTAGTTTTAGGAAATTTTATCTACAGAACTTATGTTGAGCTGTCCATGTCCAGCATTATGTCCAGTTGTCCAATAAGGCCACTTCATTAAAAATAAATAAATAGATAAAGCCAGGTTATATCATATCATGCTCATAGTTTATGTTCATTGTGGAAAGAACATATGTATCCAGCTCACTAACAATAATATCGAACCATTAAAGTCAATTAGTAACAGAGATGGATGTCCAGAATATATTTCTTGATTTCTTCTACTGAAATTATCATCCGATCCATCAAAACCACTCTCACTAACCCTACCTCTGAAACTAAGCATAAAGTTTAAGTTCTAAATAAGCATCTATTACTGGGGTATACACTGAGACCCTACAGCTTTGCAGTACGGGTTAGCTGTATCTAAGTTTCCACTTTTGCCTAGTGTAGACATTTGGCCTTGCACTTCGGATGGTGTCTGATATAGTAGGCTACTTAGTACAGGATGCAGAAAAGGATTTTCCTTTGTAAAAATGGTGGTATCATTTTCTTGGGTCTGTTTAGATTGGATCAAAATTCTGTCTTTGGTACTTCACCAAGAAATGTTCAGGAAAATAATATTTTTCGAGTAGCATTCTTAAGGAATTTTCCTAGGCAATTTTTCTTAACATTTTTTATATAGAAAATCTAATATATACAAAGATCAAAACAGTATAATGCAACACTTTCTACCCATCACTGTTTCAAAATTAGCAACATCCTACTATTCTTTTATCTCTATCTCTGTTCCCCACTCAATTGTTATTATTATGAATTTTTTTTGCAACCCTTAGTTTTTTCAGGTAGAGTTTTCATAAATTGAAATAAAGTATTCCTAACTATCCAGTTTTGACAAAATAATAAACCAGAGTAACCCTTATCCTTATCTTGATATTGAGCATTTCTGTCTTCCCCAAAGGCTCCTATGTATCTCTTCCCAGTCAGTTCCCAACAATCACTCATGAAAAACAACCACTGTTCTGATTATTTAAGAATTAGTGCCTACATATCTAGAAATTCCATTGGGAGAAAATGGAAGAGTGGCTGAAAGGATACTGAAGAAAAGGAAGTTTACAAATACCTCTGTTTATTGTTTGTCCTCGATTTTTGCTCGTCATTCCACTAATATATAATAATATGACATCTATATTTTGAAAAATGTGAAAAAAGAGGGAATATTTATTTTTTAAAGTAGTAAAGCTAGAATGATAGCTTATGAAGGGAGGCAATTTAAAAGAAAAGGAGTCAGGTGGGAAGAGTAAGTCTCAAAAGTCCCTGTTTACGTCTGGTTTTGAGTGTGCCTGTCGTGTCAATATATCAGCTACACCCTGGCTTCTCAATATATACTCCGTGAATCAACAGCAGATGCTCAGGCCATAGCCTCTAATGAATCAGAATCAGCCTAACAGTATCATCAGCTGATTCATATGCACATTTCATTTTGAGAGGCACTGCTCTAGACCACAATGTAATGTACTAACATCCCAAAGGAGGAAAAAATAAAATTGAAAAAATTTGAAACAGGATAGAACATGGAACAAGAACACATGAAATCAGCAAATCAGGTATAAAACACAAATACAGCTTATATTGGTTCTATAATGAAACACATCAGCTATTTTATAAAGTCAGGAACTATGAAGAAAGGTAACTTTTAAGTACCATTTCCTGAGGGCTTGTTTGGAGAAGAGGCTCATATAAAATATAGGAAAATATATTAAGGTGGGTGCTACTAAATGCTTTGTTTCTGTTCATCTTATGACTTCTAGTAACCCTATAAGCTGTCACATACAGCTAATATTAAAAACAACAAATTATACTTTTGTTTATTTTATTTGGATGATGCTCATTAACATTTCACATTATATGCAGTTGCTATCAAATTTTATGTGTCCAATTAGTATTACATTAAATGATAGTTTTATAAAGAAAACAGCTAAAGGAAGCAGATGTGTGGATTCTTAAAATCACAGCTGTTATTAAAATTAAACAATTAGCTGGCAATATCTTGAAATAATTTCTCATATATTGTATGAAATAATTATAAAATGATTTGTCAAGAGATCTAAATTTTCTCTACCACTGTTTAGAGCTAGGAACAAGAAAACACTAGGCATAGATTTATAGGACAGAAAACACAAAGTAAAAATGGAGGAGACATTTTTGTATAAATCTATGAGACATTCAAAAGTAAAAGAACTTTGTAATTTTTTTAATATTAGCAATGATGTAGAAATGCATCTGTATTATCATGACATATTTTGACTGTAAGGAAAAGATTTTGTCTTTTATTCTAATATTAGAACTGAGCTTGATGAACCTAATTTTCAAATGAAAAAATTTCAGTCATTGGATTTTGTCAGCAAAAATGAGATGAGATATTTCATACACATACATGTTAATGAACAAATGCTACATAAAAGCTCATTTCTTGTGTGATGTATTTATAGTTAAAGGACAGATTTGATATTTTATGCTTCCTTCCCCCTTTCCAAATGTTAAGGATTTTTCCTGCTCTCAAAATGCACCTAATGTACATAAAACTCTCTTGTGGTAAAAATATCTTAATTAGGTAAATTTTGGCATAATAACATGTAAACACAATTACACACATATGCATTTTTTAGACCAAGGCATAACATTTATCTGACTTTATTCTTTACCATTATTTATTTTAATTTTTTTTTTCTTAAAATCAATCAATATGATAGTAGTACTTCTCTGGAAATAAGTAAAACTCAATAGACGATACAGATATCCACAGGAAATTCAGAATTACTTTAAAAGTCAAGATCTTTGTATAAAGCACCAAAATGGAGAAGCTGAACTTAGATTACTTGTGTTCATTGTTCAGTACGCCATTAATATATTTCTTTTAATGTTTTTAATATAAATGATAAAAATACTTAGTACAATCAAGCATTTTATGCATTCTGTGCAAAAGAAGCCATTTTTCTAAAAATATAATTTGCCATTTGATTTTGAACAATGTGAAAAATAAAAGTGTAAGAGAACTGAACACATTTTTCCCTTCAAATATTTGTAAGATCTTATCATAATGACATCTTAACCTTAGCCTATCATTTTGCTTTCTAATCTGTTAAAATTGCCCTCTACTTATCAGATGCTTCAGATTTGAGAAATTTCAAATTAAATGAAAATATTACTAAAGATATTTTCCACAAAGAACAAATAATCCCCAAGTATACCATTTAACAGTGAGTCTGAAGCATGCACAATAAATTTAAATATCCGTAAGTGAATCCACGTCTTGAGGAAAGTGCCTCATTCATGCTGAAATGGATTCCTTAGCCAAGTGGGCAGCATTTTATCTCAATGTAAATTCTACCGTAAAGGTATATTTAACTATTCAAAATATTCAGATGAATGGGCATCTTCTTTTCTCTACCAAATGTGACAACTTTCTCATCTTAGATTTTCTTTAGAGATTTATCTTCACCTCACATTGTTCGTGTTAAAATCATAGCTCAGATATAACCAGATAGTTGTGAATTTGCTTTTCCCAACTGTGCTTGTGGCTTAGATAATTAAGATTATCTTTCAGTACAATTTAAGTCTAGAAGAGGACACTAATTTAGTAAAATGACCTGCATTTTTCAAATGGAATATAAAGAAGCCTTGCATCTACTTATAATCTAGGTGATTTTGAGAGAAAGGAATAAAAAGACTGTAACTCAGCCTTTTGTTTTATTTCTGTATTTTTCTCTTAAAATTAAGTTTTGAAGCAATTGTATTTTTATTTGATTAAATTGAAAGGTATTAAATGTCAAACTAACAAATATTTGTTTTGTTTTGTTTGTTTTTAACTGGTAAAAATGGGAAGGAGCCCAGGTGGCTCAGTGGTTAAGAGCTCCGCTGCTAACCCCCAACCGCTCCTTGGAAATCCTATGTGGCAATTCCACTCTGTCCTATAGGATCTTATGAGTTGGAATCGACTTGACGGCAATGGGTTGGGGTTTTTGTTTTTTTGGATTAAAGATAGAGAAAAGATACTTCAAGTATTGGCTTGCGTAAAAGAAATGTTTTAAATTGTGAAAGACAATGTCACAAAATTTTAAGATTCATATTTTATTTTCAGATGTAAAATATTTAAAAGAAGAGGATGCAAATCGCAAGACATTTACTGTCAGCAGCACACTGGACTTCCGAGTGGACCGGAGCGACGATGGAGTGGCCATCGTCTGCAGAGTAGACCATGAATCCCTCAATGCCACCCCTCAGGTAGCCATGCAGGTGCTCGAAATACACTGTAAGTGAACACTACTGCTTACTCCTTTTCTCTGCAGCAAATCTCGTTGTCCACACTTACATTTTAATATTACCTAATTACAGCAAATGTACAGCAATATCTACAGTGAAAGGAAGTAAAAATACACCCGTTAGTATTCATCACATTCAAAGGAAAGTAGTCCATGTCTGAGTGTCATCCTTCACAATGAAGAAAAATAAAGGAAATATAAGATTAAAACCCTGTGTTCTAAATAGTTGCTTTAGGTATGCAGGTATGTGGGCCGATGAGTAGTAATTTTGGCAGAATCAGTGAGAGGTGGAAGTCTGAGAAGGGCCTTGATGAACTTTATTATATGAAAGTAGCTTTGTTATATATAAATATGACTTCTCATCTGTGCTTTTAAAATAAGACTATTTTTCTTTTTATAGGTGAAAAATTAAGTCTGTATGAATGCAGGGCATATCTATTATGTTTTATTCACCGTCAGCATCATTATTAATGATAGTGCTGTTAATTGGGTGGCTCCAATGGCCAAGAGCAGTGTTGAATGCTTTAATGGCATTAACTCACTGAATACTCATAACAGTCCGATAAGTAGTTACTCTCATTAGTCATAATTTACTCATGAGGATACTGAAGGATATAGAGATTGAGTCACTGACTCAAGTTCACACAGCTAGGAGATGGTATACTTGTAATCATGGCATTTCTAGTACTTAACAAGATCCTAGAAAAACTATTTATAGAAATGAAAGTGAATGAGGTGAAATATGTAAGCTGTAGAAAAGAACAGAACACAGGCGCTTGTATTTTCTGAATTGCATTTCTCTATTTTCCAGATATTGGGGATTTTTTTTTTTTTAATCTATGATAAAATTATAGCTTGAGCTTAGAATCTGAGTGTTATGTGATATTTCATTAAATCCTAAAACACGAAATTCTGATTATTGTTCTACTAAAATGTCTCATTGCATTTTATGTTGATTTATTTATTCAACAAGTATTCATTGAGGGCCTACTATGTAGCAGGCACTAGGCACTCAGGTTACCCATTTAAAAAAACAAACAAACCATTGTTGTCGAGTCAATCCCAACTCATAGCGACCCTATAGGACAGAGTAAAACTGCCCCCATAGAGTTTCCAAGGAGCGGCTGGTGGATTCAAACTCTTGACCTTTTGATTAGCAGCCATAGCTCTTAACCACTGCACCACCAGGGCTCCACTGAGGTAATAGCAGTGGACAAAAAAGAACAACAATAAAATCAGTTGAGATTTTGACCAAGTTTCAAAATCACCATCACTCCAGCCAACAAATTCCGCATCCATTCTAGGAAAGAATGAAACAAAATTAAATTAAATAAATAAATATAACATAACATAAATAAATATAACTATTGTGCAATTTACATATTGCTAAGTGCTATGGGGAAAAAATGAAGCAGGTCAAGGCAATAAGAAGGGCAACTGCAGAGGTGGGTATGGTGTCAAGGAAAGTGAGTGAGTGAATGTGTGTGTGTGTGTGTACTGCAGAGGAAAGAAAACAAAGATCCAGAGGTAGAAGCATGCCTGTTGTTTTTATGTGGCTAAGAACAGCAAGGAGATCAATGCGATCAGAATAGAGTTGACAGGACAAAGTATAGTATTAGAAAAGATCAGAGAACTACCAAGGGATTGTTTTTTTTTCTTCTTCACTTTTTTATAAAGTATTAATCTAATCTGATTAGGACATGCTCATTATTTTTTAAAAATTATTCAGTTTACTAGTCATTGGGTTTATTATAATATTTTAAAAATTTCCATTATATTAATAGGTTCATTTTTTTTCTTATGTTCTCATTGAAGCAGATTCAGAAATAGGCATACTTTATGGCCCAAATTGACATTGTCTTTAAATTTCAACTTATTTTCAGTGTAAGCTTGAGAATATTACTGAAACTGCTTGAGCTTCATTTATAATCTGAGAGATAACTTCTGTGAGGGTCATGAGATACTGAAGTAAAGTGCATGTGATCCAAAAGACTTTCAATAAATGTCAATTTTCTTCCCTTTTCTATTTCTTATGCATAATTACATAATTTGATATGTTAAAAGGACTCAGATCATCAGTATCTTTAATGTAACATTTTTTATACTTACATAACAATACAAAGGCAAGTAAGACTTGTTAGAAATCTTTAATTACTAATTTAACTGCAATTTCCAGTATATAAACAAAGAAATGAACAGAAATCAAGTCATGATGAGTGTAAAGTTTGCCAGCCAATGATTACTAGAAACCTACCAATAGTAAAGCACAATTAGATTTATTGGTTTGCTGCAGCAAGAGATAATCACAGAGTCTAGGTAAGAAAATGTTAAACCAAAAAAAAAAAAAAAAATCATATTGCTGTTGAGTCAATTCCACTCTTAACAAGGTTTATTGTAGGATTTAGGCTCCTGCTGGGTATTCCGAAGAGAGTTATGGATTGGGTGCAATTAGGGGGAAATTCAGTGATTGGTTATGTTGTGAATTTTAATCGAGAAGAAGAAATATTAAAGCAAGACAAGAGTTGCCATTACAAAGACAAGATAGTCAATCATGCCAATTTCTGTTTGCCGAGTGTCCTTGTCTTTGTCTTGTTTCAGACCTGGTTGTGGAATGGACTTGTCTTTGTCTTATTCTACCCTAGTTAAACGAATGGCTTTATCTGATCATTGTTCATATTCCCGAGAGTTGTTTATGTTTGTTGGTAATATTTCAGTCTAGCTGTCAGATGCCAATTGCCAGCTCTCAAGATCATTTTTCACTTTCTTTGGAGTCCAAAATGGAACTATTGTGCATTTGCCGGGCACTTTTAGCTCTTCACCATATTTCAAATATGCATTATTAAGCAATATTTCATGGAAGAAGTCAATAGATTTGCCTATTTTTTTTAGAAAGTTTTATATTAATAATTATATACTTGTAATGGCTGGTCAATTAAAAATAACAACTTATTCTATCATGGTTTAATATGCAAGTGGCTAGAAGGCAGAGACTAGATCTATTTGATTATTTTTCCTAGCATCTAGCATACCATCATTCAAATATGTGATGTTAATTAAAACTAACTGATAATAAAGATGAATGTCCCTTTAGGGATGTGAAACATTCCCCAGAGATGAAATAAGGAGTGGAGGGTGGAGGAGGGTGCATGAAGCAACAGTCAGCAACAAAATTAAAGCGAATTGAATAAATTGGGTGTGGTGTTTATAAACACCTCAGAACAATGACGACAGCATCTCAATGGTTGTTTCCAGAAAGAATAGATCATGACTCCAGGTGGGTGGAAAGCTATTATGGATTAAATCATATTACTCCAAAATATGTGTTAGAATCCAAACTCCTCTACCTGTGAATGTAATCCCATCTGGGAATAGTATTTTCTTTGAAAATGTTAAACCAAATCCATTGTCATTGAGTCAACTCTTGACTCATAGCGACCCTAGAGGATAGAGTAGAACTGCCCACAGGGGTTCCAAGCCTGTGAATCTTTATGGAAACAGACTGCCACATCTTTCTCCCACAGAGCGGCCGTTGGGTTCGGCCGACCTTTTTGTTAGCAGCCTAGTGCTTTAACCACTGTGCCACAAGGGCTTCTTCTTTTTTATGTTATAAAAGAGCAGATTAGACAGAGAAGCAAACATATACTGGAGAAGACAGATGACATGTAAGATTGCCAATGAGTATCTTCCCACAGAGCCTTCTCCTATAGGAGGTGCACGGAATTTGGAGTTGTAGCCTCCTAAACTGTGAGAAAATTAATTTCTGTTCTTTAAAGCCAATCACTTGTGGTATTTCTGTTAAAGCAGCACTAGGAAACCAAGACAGCTTGATATAGAAATTCCCATGGATGCAAGTGGGAGAAGTAGAATTGGATTTAGAAAAGGAAGAAAGTGGTTCACCTATAATTTATGGAGCATAAGTTTGATGTCCACATTGTATTAAAAAGATCCTGTCATGAATAGCCACAAGGACTAACCCAATTAGAGAGAGAAACATTTAGAATTTAGAACCCCAAGTGCAAAGGAGCTGCTATCATTTTCTGTGGTGAGTGGCAAGAATGAATATGTATCTACAATAATGGAAACAGTTATGGCTACAGCAGATATTAAAATCCTGTATTATTGTGGGAAGCCAAGTATGATGAGCATAAGCAGCAAAGGTTTAACACTTAGCACCAAGGAGCTTTATGAAAAAAGTAGTAGAAGCAACTATATTTCTAGAGCCAAGTACGTAAAAACCCTGAATCTTTGGTAACCCGATGATAAATAATTTAGGATACAGCCTGTAAATTAAATCACAGAAACATTTATTTCTTTATAAAATATTAATCATAAATTTAAATGCTGTCACTATGATGGAAGAGAGTATTTTTAAAACTGAAATTAAAAAAATGTAATGTATACTTTATCACTATGAACCACAAATGTTTGCAAGTTTTGCCTTATTTGTAACAGCGGACTTTGCACCTGAGCAGTGCAAAAAGCCATTCTCTTATAGATGAAAATTCTGATTCATCTTCCTATTTTTTACACAAATCTCTGAAACAATGATTTTTATTTGTCTGATTTAATTTCTTTAGGAACAGATTGGATGAGTCAGAATTTATTTAATTCTCAGTAGGAATAATGTATCTGCACTAACAAAAGAACTATGCACAAAACACAGAAAACAAGAAAATATGCATAACTGAATGTTCATCTTTTATATGTGACACTGACAAGAACTACATAAAAGCCAACTCTTACTGAAAACGAAAAACTCAAGAGACAGATTAGTAAACTGTTTCGGAATAATGAGTGTTCTGAGAAAGCATTTTAGTACTGTGACATTGAGATACAAACATGGAAGAAGAAGAGCCCAGATTTAAGTGTTTGTGTGTGTGTGTGTGCGTGTGTGTGCGTGTGTGTGTATTTTAAAGTCTGTTTTCTATATATTTCATCTAATCGTGAAATCATATGCTATCATTAAGATTTGTTTATTAGTTCATATTTA